CCTAGCAATGCTGAGATGGTTGAAACAACTGATGCAAGCTCCTCCAGTGCCGCTCCAGTTGGAGTAGGATGCGATACTTGGCATTGGGACTCTGAAGACGATGTTTCATCTGTTTCTGCCCCTGTGGTAAGTTAGTTTGTTAAAGTAGGCTAGCAACTCAGCTAATCATGTACATGATGGCCTTACAAAGTTATAAAATGTGACTTTGTGTTCTAAATTTTGATGTTTATGATAATGACGGTACAGTTACACTTAATCAGAAGAGGTGTACTCGGTTCAGTCAGTTAAAGTGTCAGTTTACAGTAACAGTAAATTGTGTGAAGCAGGATGAGCAGAGTGAATGTGTTAGGCTGCGTCATGTTCATACTAACACCTGCTGATTTACTAACGCCATAGCCTCACTTCATTCCTCTCCGTCAGTAAGGTTAAAGGAGCATTTCATACATTTTGGCAATCGAAGTTTGTATCAGGCTCAGTGTGTAAGTGTTTTATTATCACTCTTGTGAAACCATTGTGAGAGTAATTCAGTACTAGGCTGTGGATTAAAAACAAGGGAAGTTAGATTAAATGTGTTTATGGGTTTAATTCTGAGCCTTATCTTTCAGAAGGATGGGCTGACATTGCAGATGGTGTCAGATGGACTGCAGAAGACGACTCTGGCTCTTGTAGCCATGCAGGTAAACAAAATAAACTCCCTAGAGAGGAATTTATATGCTACGGTGTATGTTTAGCAATCGTGACAGTAAAAGGTTTTTTCTTCTGTATTTCAGACAGTTCCAGGTTAGCATCTGAAGCAGTTCCGGGATGAAGTGGGACATTTTCCCGGAAACACCTTCTCTGGTGTAAAACTCAACAGGAAACAAGTGGATGATGATGACTTCCACAACGTGAAAGATAAACTAATCAATGGCTTCTGTGACAACCTCACCACACGGCTTGGCAACCTTGATGAGGGTGTCTTGAAGGCCATTGCCACCATGTTTGACCTAAGCAACTGGCCTGAAGACATCACTGACCTGGCCACCTTTGGTCTGGCCGATGTTGAGACTTTTGTCACTCACTTTCAGAAAACTGATGGGTTACAGGGAGCTTCATGGAACACTGTATTCACGAACAGTCAATCTAAGTAACAAAACTTTTGAAAAAGCCAAAATGAACTCAGATCTGTCATTTTCAACTCAACTATTAGGGTTTCCAATCCTTTTTTCCTGTTTTTGACAATAGTGGTTGCATTAAAAATCAATATGAAAAGGAAATACAGTCAGGTCCATAATTATTTGGACAATGATACAGTTGTTGTCATTTTGGCTCTGTACACCACCACAATGGGTTTTAAATGAAACAATGAATACCTGCTTAAAGTGCAGACTCTCAGCTTTCATTTAAGGCTTTTTTCAAAAATGTAGTATGAACCATGTAGGAATTACAACCATTTCTTCACACAGTCCCCCGACTTTAAGGGCTCATAAGTATTTGGACAAACTAACATAATCATCAATTAAACAGTCAGTTTTAATACTTGGTTGCAAATCCTTTACAGTCAATGACTGCCTGAAGTGTTGGACACATAGGCATCATCAGATGCTGGGTTTCTTCCCTGGTGATGCTCTGCCAGCCCTTTACTGCAGCCGTCTGCACTTCCTGCTTGTGTTTTGGGTGTTTTGCCCTCAGTTTTGGCTTCAGCAAGAGAAACGCATGCTCATTTGGATTCAGGTCAGATGATATGACTTGGCCATTGCACAACATTCCACTTCTTTGCCTTAAAAATGTCTTTGGCTGCTTTTGCAATATGCTTCAGGTCAATGTCCAACTGCACTGTGAAGCATCGTCCAATGAGTTTTGAAGCATTTGGTTGAATCTGAGCAGATAATGGTGCCCCAAACACTTCAGCTTTCATCCTGCTGCTCTTGTCAGCAAGACAAGACTTCACTAGAATAAATACAGAGGGTTTATCACAAGATGCAAACCATTGGTTAGCCTTAAAAATGGAAGGCCAGATTAGAGTTTGTCAAAAACCATCTAAAAAGCCTGTACAGTTGTGGAACAGCATACTATGGACAGATAAAACAAAGATCAACTACCAGAATGATGGGAAGACAAGAGAAGGAAGAAGGGAAGGAACTGCTCATGATCCAAAGCACACCACCTCATCAGTGAAGCATGATGGAGGTACTGTTATGTCATGGCCATGTATGGCTGCCAGTGGAACTAGTTCTCTTGTATTTATTGATGATGTGACTGCTGAGAAGAGCATCAGGATGAATTCTGAAGTGTTTGGGGCTACATTATCTGCTCAGATTCAACCAAATGCTTCAAAACTCATTGGACGATGCTTCACAGTGCAGATGGACATGGACCTGTAGCATACTGCAAAAGCAACCAAAGACATTTTTAAGGCAAAGAAGTGGAATGTTCTGCAATGGCCAAGTCATATCATCTGACCTGAATCCAACTGAGCATGCGTTTCTCTTGCTGAAGCCAAAACTGAGGGCAAAACACCCAAAACACAAGCAGGAAGTGCAGACGGCTGCAGTAAAGGGCTGGCAGAGCATCACCAGGGAAGAAACCCAGCATCTGATGATGCCTATGTGTCCAACACTTCAGGCAGTCATTGACTGTAAAGGATTTGCAACCAAGTATTAAAACTGACTGTTTAATTGATGATTATGTTAGTTTGTCCAAATACTTATGAGCCCTTAAAGTTGGGGGACTGTGTGAAGAAATGGTTGTAATTCCTACACGGTTCATACTACATTTTTGAAAAAAGCCTTAAATGAAAGCTGAGAGTCTGCACTTTAAGCAGGTATTCATTGTTTCATTTAAAACCCATTGTGGTGGTGTACAGAGCCAAAATGATGACAACTGTATCATTGTCCAAATAATTATGGACCTGACTGTATATCCTTATGTTGTGTTTTCACCACCACTGGTAGGCTGAAGTCTCATCACGAGTGAATAAAGCAGCTAACTCTGAATCAATTTGCTCAAATGTTTAAGTTCAAATAACTCATGTTTGTCTTAGTATGCCATTTTGAGGAAATGAGATTCCCATGATCCTTTGCTAAAGAAAATAATAACATACTAGAGTGAAAGAATCAGAATTCTTTAATGTTGAAATAATGATTGTTATCTGGATGTTGCAATAGGTGCATAATTAACATAATTATTAACTTCAGTGAGTGCATAATAAAGAGTTTATGAATGTCAACAAGACACTGTTCCCACTTTAGATCCAGTAGCTGCAAGGATGCATTATGAGCTGTTAATAAAGGCATATTAATAGTTTATTAACTTTTATACGACACTGTTCCTACTTTAGATCCGGTAGCTGCAAAGGATCATTATTAACTATTAATAAGTGCATAATTAAGCATTTATTAACCATAATATGGCATTTATATTAACTTCTTATAGTCTCATTAATGTTAATAAACACCTTATTAATTTCATCTTATAGGGTCTTATAGTGTCTTATAAACCAGTAATAAATGTGTTTATTATTCTTTATTACACGGCTCTATTAAATGCTGTATTCTGATTGGTTAGTCGCGGCATTCAGAGACCTGATATTACTGTGTAATGACCGTTGCTATGTAGCCCAGCGTTGCTAGGGACGCTGCCCTGACAAGGAGATTCAGCCGTTGCCGGCAGTTTTTTTTCCTCACCTCCCGATTTAATTCATAAATCAATAAAAATCGTATAATTAATCAATATTCTGTCTCAAATTATTTATTTAACTGATAGCTGCGCGTTGGGGTTCTATTCTATATTTTCCCAGTATTCACTGGCTCATTATACATTATCCCTTACATAATTAACCCTTATAAATTATAATCAATGTAAACAGACATCTTATTAATATTTAGTATAGGTTTATAAACTGTTAACAAAGTTTCTATTAAGAGCTCATAATGCTCCTATAAGCAATAATAACTCAGTCAGTTATGCTGTAATAATCACTTAGTCTAGTCTTATTAATGTTAATAAGCATCTTATACCGTCTTATAAGTGCTCATTAACTGTTAATTAACTGCTTATTAAGCACTAATTAGCACTTATTACAGTACCTTAATATAAAGTGTTACCAAAAATTAAATTTGATTACCAAACAATAATTTGGCATCTCCCCTGCAGTAAATCAGACAACCCCCTAGAGGTCACAGACCCCCTGTTGAAGACACAGGCCCTAACCTTATTGTAACCTGGACCCTAAAACTCTGAAGGAGTAAGGACTGACCAAATGCTCACTTTCTAAAAATGTCCTTGCACTGTTGGTTTAAAACATGGTCCTCACTATACAAGCCTCACAACTACAAGCACAAAAGGACACACTCTCACACACAGGTTTATACTGATATTTGTAGCTTATACTAACCGGTTGAAGAAGGAGCAGGATTGAGGCAAAATGCTTAATTGAAAATGAAAACCATGAAAATGGTTACACATATAATAGCCTTCAGCACCGATGTCAATAACACAATAAACATCCTCAACAATCCTAAACAAAATATCAGCCCAGAAAAACAAAGTGTTATCCTTGCCAAACCACAATGTTAAACTGTACTGGATACTTAGGATGAAAAAACAAACAAACCCAAAAATGTTTGATGGAGCTGTGTAGGCTTCCAGCCTTTGTGTTGGGCTCAACTGAACATGTCTTGTACCTCTCTCTGCACTGGACTCACAGAGATGAAACTGATATGTTTCTTCTCATCTGACTCCGGGCAGCTGGATGAAATTAACTCATCTAAGGACAGGGTACATACACATCCCATCAGACTGGTGTCCAGGGTCCATTCTCTTGGCTGAGTGTACACAGTGTTGCCACAACAGCACGAGGAAATCAAACTCGCTAGAGAACCAGCGGCAGTCTGCCTCAGAGCTCACACAGCAACACTGAACTTATTAAACTGCTTTGAACCTTCAAAAGGCACACCTCACAAGCCCTCACACACAAACACAGAGCAGCCCAGAGGACTAAACACTCCAAATGGTCTTACCTTGCCAAACTGTTCAAAATATTGCTTCACATCTTCAATTACTGTGTTGGCTGATAATCCTCCTACAAATATTTTCTTTGTTCTTGTGACCATCTGGAGGGAGAAAAAGACACAGAGAGAAGGAGAATGAAGGAGGTTAGCAACATTTTACACAACAAAATAAGGATTATGAAGCAGCGTGTGTGTGTGTGTGCGCGCGCGTGTGTGCGTGTGCGTGTGTAAATGTATAAAGCAGGGTTCCGCCAGCAAAAGAAGCTCGAATCAAATCTATATCACATAGGCCTTACCAACCAACCACTAGGCATGGCAGCAGTAACAAGGAAGTTAAAAGTGGACAATGGATATAAATATGCGACTGTGCTCACATCACCGATCACAGAATTTAACAGGCACTTTCAAGATTTCTCTGCCACTGAGAAGGACATGAACCTGTTCTCCAGCCCTTCCTCTGTAATGTGGAAAGTATAGTGGAGGGGGTGCAACTAAAGATTATGAAATGCAATGTAATGATACTCTCTAAAGTCTTCACTAGCAGCAAGTCCCACTGTCACAGTTCAGCAGGGGTTTGAAACAGTCCAGATTTCACCAGATGAAGAAATGATCTGGACTCTAGGGGTGGGACTCACTGGAGTCACCACCAACACGATATTATCACGATACATTATTTACAATACAAGCACGCTGAACATTGCAGTAACATCGCAATATATTGCAATTTCTTACCTTTTTTCAACCCCAAATTATATCCCTAAAGGAAAAATTTGTCAGCATCTGTATTATATAATAGGGCAGTTTTAGTCTGTTTATCTCACTTCAGTTATTTCTATTGCAGCAAATGTATGTAGTAGACTGAAAAAGCAATTGATTTTATTATTCTAGTTGGATACCAAAAGTATATTTTATATAATAAAGAATCAACACTAAGGATCTGTGTATTGATACAAAATTGCCACATTGAATATTGTGATACAATATTGTATCCATTACCCAACCCCCACCCTAACTGTACACTCAGTTCATTTGCCTCTGCATAATGTGACTTTGTGATTATGTGACTATTAGCCTTCTTATGATATCAGTATTGTTTTTGTACTCCAAATATTAAGCAAAATACTTTCACATTACATAATGACTTCCTTCAGGCCATGATTTTGAGAAAAAGGCCTTCAAAGTTTACAGTGCGGTAGCTGCAAAGACATGTGACAGAGTACATTGGCCTTCCAAAATGGGAGTGCATGTGATACCCTCAGGGCTGTCCCTGGGTGAAAAATACACAGAAAAGCTTAAGGACATTTGAATTTTGCCAGCAAGGTAATGAAAACACACGAAAAGAGGAAAATGCAGAAAGACAAGAAAACAATGTTTGTGTTGGAAGAACTGCAGTACATTTGATGAAGAAAGTAGTTAACAATGGTCTTCACATGTTACTTTTATTTCTTATTTAGTTGACTTAATTAATATGTTGTTATTTACTCTATTTTTGCCTGTAACTGTATATTCACACCAACAGCAACCAGAGCTTCCAAAGCGCCGGAAGTCATTCATTTTCAATGAAAGCCTGGCGACTTGGGTGACTTGGGCGCCCGGTCATCAGCGGTGCGTCTTGGGTGACCAAAGCAACCGGAGCGCGTCTGGAGGGGAGTTAAAACTCGTTTAACTTTATGGTAATGAGCTCTGACACGGTTAGGCAGCAACCAATCGGAATGCTGACGTGCTTCGATTAAGCCGGTCCCAGAGAACAAGCCATGTAACTTTGGTTCCTACAGCACACTTGTTCCGACAATGGTCCGTGAGAGACTTTGCCTCTTCGGAAGCTTCTGGTTTGAATGTACAGTAAGGTGACCTTGAGTGTCTTGAAAGGCAGTATTATTATTACCATTTTTGTCACCTCTCTAGTTAACCATGCTGGCAAATCTAAAATAATTATTCTTTGGCACTCACGGTTTCTTAAATATTAAAAAATAAAGTTTACTATTGAATTTGTGGATAATCAAGCTAATGGTGTGTAGCATGTCTATAATGACAGAAGTGTAAACATTTAACACTATATTTTGATGCACAATGCCAAGCCGCTCAGAACTCAATGACGACCCGGTGAGTTTTAAGAGGTTTTAATATTGTGTAAGCCAAGACTTTGTTTATTTGAGATCAGAGGAAAAAGACACTTTTCCAAACCCTGTTTTGTTACTATAAGCTTTTTATTCATAATTTCAGGGAGACATAGAGGGAGACAGGGAGAGTGGCGGTGAGTAAGACCAGACTGCTGTTAAATCTTCACTGCTAGATTTTCATCATGCATTCACAAGCTTCATAATTGTATTTATCGTCTAAACTTGACAATAAGAGTTTTATATTCTGAAAGCAAAGACTTTAAATAAAAATTCAATAAAACCCCAAAATGACTAAAATCAAGGTGGCATAAATCCACGCTTATCTAGAAATGAACAATTGCGATTTCTGACTGATTTCTTTTTTTTTGTTTTTTTGCACGCCACATATAGCCTATGTGAGCAAACCTGACAAGAGAGCAACTCTTCGGTCTTAGACACAGCATCACTGTTCCCATTAGGAGTGATATTTACTGCTAAGTGACTGATTAAAATCATGCTACAGAACCTAGTGTACAGCACAAGTGCTCAGACTCGCATATGAAGATCTAAAATGAAAAAGCTTGTGGTCCCTGGCATAAGACACCCCCCTTTCACCCAAAATCAAATTCAAATGTATTTGAGAAGTGGATTTAGAAGAGAGATCTAGAAATACTTGTTGATGCTCAGCAAACCATGCCAAGCATGCATTTTAGATTTTCCTGTCAGTGTGAGTAGCTCTGAAACAACTTTTTCACGAAATTAAAGGACAACATGCTGCATTTAGGAAAATTACAGGGTAATATCAATTCAAGGTGAAATTGGAAATATAAGAAAAGTCAAAGAGAGAACAGCAACACTGGCAGTGGCATGATGCTTCACCAATTAACTGGCAGCTACAGTGCAAAAGAGTAACTGTACATATCACTCACTTTATGCCCTAAAAAAACAAGTGAAGATAATGAGACACCACTTGATCAGGGCTGACAGGATTCACTGGTGTTCATGAGAATATTAGTCACATGACACACACAAACACTAGAGGCAAATAAAAGGGACCATATCTGACCCCACTGAACTACATATAATTTGGACCTGGAATAACTTGTGTTACAAATCAGGACTGAGTTACTTAGAACCAGGGGAATCTGTGAAGACTATATTAGCCTCCCTATGTGGGATAATGTAAAGAAAAAAACAACACACAAGTAATTACAGTAAACAGTTGAGTAAAATATTGGGCAGAAAAGTATATCCAATCTAATCACAAGGAAAGTGTTGGCATTGCACATTTCTGTGAGTGTGACCAGTTAAAGAATAATACTCAGGGCCTGTTAAATAAAAAGCCTAGGAGGTTCATGATTTGTAATGTTAAAATCTGGAAAAAGGTTAAAAACATCCATTAATGAGGAACAGTTCATAAGAGCTGACTAAAATCATTAAACTGAATAAAATAGTTTACATGCCAAGAGATTGTTTATATTATATTGTTTGCTTTATTCTTATCCATTAATTTAAGATGTAAAATTGTTTTTTCTGTGCTCTACAAGATGTTCTTAATCTATGATCCTGAGATTGATTGCCAACTCGCTGTATTTTCTCGCTGAGGAAAAGTGACATCGCTCTCGTGATTTTCATTCCCCCTTTTTCAGGTATGTTGTCATTTAAAGAGAATTAAACATGACTGTCATCACTTGTTAACATGTCAAGAGTTTTCAATAGAGTTTGTGTGACATTTTGAGAAAATTCATGCTAGATTTTGTCAAGTGTAGTAAAGTGTGTGTGAGTGAGGTCCCCGCTTTGTAGCACAGACCGACCTGTAGTCTGGTTGAGGGTCACCACCATTTTGTGTAAACTGTGAATTCACATGTACACATATTGTGGTATCTATTGCACTATTATCAGTATTAGTGACATGTTTTCATGTGCTTAAGTACATTTTGTAAGAGTTTACTGATGATGTTTTGTTGAGTAATATTTGAGAGAACATGAATTTATGTCTGGGATAAATACTGTGCATATTCTAGCTGAAAAGGAGTGTGTACTCAACAAGATATTTCTCCTGTACTTTGTAAATTACTGTATTTTTGTGAAGCATTTATTTAAGTTAAGTTCTCCCTCAGGAAACATCACTGCACAAATATGTTTCATTTGCCAATTATGTAGCAGATATGTTGAAACTTTACATTTCAACAACGCCATGGTTAATGTATGGTTAGGTTTGGCATAAAAACCATTTTATTTTTTAAGAACAGATAACATTTTGGCTTACTATACCCACTTTTGGTAGCACTACCCCAGGTGGAAACACAACAACGTCTCTGTAAAAAAACAATTGCTTTCCGTGGCCCTGTCACCACTGGATAAACAGTGACAGGTGGCTAAAAAAACAAACAAAAAAAACCCCACCCACATTTGGTGTTAAACACGATTGTTTTTTGTTGTTTTTTTGGTCTTGGACATTGGTCTGCAGCTTGGCAGGCATCTTGCCTAGCTGTCACGCACTTTACCATCCCCTCCACTTTCTGATGACAAAGTTAGCCTATACGCTATGTCACTTAAGAATCATTAGCATGATACATATTAAATGTGCAAGTGTAACATATTTGTGGTTTGAAGACACACACAGTGCCAACATTTTTCTTCTGACAACTGGGCTGGTAAATCCAGGCATTGCTAAGAGTCTTTTGGTCAGGACAATGTGGAAGTGGATATCACACCTGTTCTATTTCACTGTGTCTTGGCCTCTGCAGGGTATTAGAGGTGTCATATGTCACTGCTTAGAAACACCACTATCATTTGGTGGCTAATACCAGTGCTGGAGCCAGACACCATTCATCTTAATGATGAGGATAGCCACTGCCACTATTATGACTGCAGCTACAATAAATAGCCAACTGGAGAGTTAACAGCGTGTAAGTGAGATGAGGAAATGAATTAAAGTTCCCTATATTACAGCAGGCTGGCTGGTGATCTCACAGCCACCATGGGACAAATATACGGGAA